AGTAGCCCTAGACTTGGGAAAACAACCTCCCCCATATCGCTATAAAGCCTAGCAAGACCGCCCAGGCCACAGGGAGGAGCATGGCGGGACATAAACCGAAAAAATGCAGGACCTCCCTGATAAACGAAGGAAGGGGGAATCACAGCCCTAACATAAAAGGGGCCTCGAAGAAACAGGCCTCGTCCCTGACCAAGCAATGGAAACGACGCGAATCAGCATGACGCACAACCACACCAAGTGGGATGTTGAAACTCCTGGCAAGAGAATGAGCCTCTTCCTCCCCAATCTCAATAGCCTCAACATCGGGAAAAAGACATTCCATAACATCGCGAGAAGAGGGAGGGACCCTAGCCATGAGAACAGGAGGAAAATATCTTCCTAAGGCAAGACACTGAAGGAAAAGTCGCGACAACGGAGAAAGCGAAAAGTTCTAATGCCTAAGGAAAGGCAGTCAGTCCCCAAAAATGCCCATTAATAACCCTAGCTGATGTGCATCCATCATCCCAGCCGGACGCAATTAATACATGCCCCTTGCATTTAAGTAAGGAACACATGACATCGTGGGAATCACCGAAGCGTCACGATCAACAAGCCACTATCCCCACTGGCGGCGCACGTTCTTTAACAGGTGAAACCGTCATGTCTAGAGTATGGAGAAAGATGGGTGAAAAGACCAAAATGACCCTATGGTTCGCAGGAAAACACTTAAAGGAAGGAGCATGAAACTTCTGGCTGAGTCTGCCATCTCGCCCTAGTCTACGATTAACCCACCTTGGAAAAGGGCCAAATCAGCTCGGTTACACAAGGCCAAGGCCTTGGCCCCACTACGGCCACATGAAACAACTCAGGAACCATAAATTAGGGATCTCGAAGTCAGTAAACAACATCATCATTGTCATTCAACAGAACCAGAGAGGAAGATATCGTTTACAAGCAACAAGAGAACAACGTCATTCCTAGTAAGAAGCCGTTCTAAACTAAAAATTACAAAGATAAAATACTACAAAGATCCTCGTCGAATCATCAAAAATGAAGAGGGAGAAACAACCACTGGTCCACCTCAGGTAGCCGGCTTACCACTGCCGTCGACTCCCTCGTCAGTCTTCTTAGCTGAGACATCGGGTTCCTCAGAAACGGAAGCCCCCTTAGCCCTTGGCACCACGACCTCTTCAGCGGTTGCAGACCTTTTCTTGAACTCAAGACGCGACGCAAAGGAATACAGGTCGAGATCCGGATGAGCATCCTCTATCTGGTCCCTACAATTCAGGAACCCATCCACAAAGGCTGAGGTGCACTTTTTCAACAACTTAGACACCCGGGCTCTCAAAGATGACAACTCGGAATCCTTGGCCTTCAGGTCTGTAGCTTTGGCATTGATTTCGTAGTCCTTGGCCCCGAGGTCTGCGTCTTTAGCCTTGAGCTTAGCCTCTAAACCCCCGATCTATGATTCTTTGAGCGCAATGTGGTCCTGATGGTGGGAGTCCAGCTCATCGTTGATCCTCTTCAATTTCGAGACCTCGAAAACCAAAACCTGCAGCTTCCCCTCGGCAGCGTCCTTGCTGCCCGTCATGACATCAAGAGCATCCTTAGCCTTCTGGAGATCCCTCTCATGATGGATATCCAACATCTTCACACAGGCGAGCGATTGTGAAAGAAAAAGGGGATCGATCAGCGAGAAAAATAGGAAAAGAATTCAAGAACCACTAAATGTAAAGACGGAACAAGAGGGTACCTCGGCCAGGCCGTGGAGGGCATGCTGAATCTTCTTTTCAAAGGGAACCTCCATTGCTGACTGAGGATCAGACATAGAGATCAGCTCTGACAAAGCAGCCACTGCAGCTTCAACATCGCAAAGAAAGGCTCCCCCACGCACCTTGGGCTTAGAAGGGACGGACTCCCCTTTTCCACCCTTCGGAGGAACCGTCTCAGGTGAAGCAGAATGGGGGGCTAAAAAGCCGAGCTTGTCCGCTGAAGTCCCCTCCGAGCCGATGTCACCCTTGGGAAATGCAGGAGAAGGCGGGGGCACGACAGCATCCCCTCGGGGAGGAGCGACTCCATTTTTCTACCCTAGAGAAGTGAGTATGGGCCTAGTGGCCGATGCCTCTTTGGAAGACAGTTGGCCTCCCTTCACCAACCTCTTCCCTCTTTCTCGATTGCTTGGTATCCGAGAACACCGCCATGATCAGATCTTGGCCCATGTTACCCGACGGGGAGACAGAAGGAGGAGCAGCCTTTGAAGTTCGGATAATGGGTGGTCCAAGCCCGTGTTTAGCGAGGTTTTCGTCGATCACCAACTCGAAGAAGTCCCTCAACCCAAAGGATTCAATTCTAGCAATTCGGGGTGCCTCTTCTATGCCAAGTACTGGGCAGAATTCTGCAAACCAGATCAAAAGTTAGAAACACAAAAAAAAAGGGGAGAAAAGAAGATAACAAATGGGTATATGGCCAGTAGATTAGCCTTACGAGTGTTCCTTGGGACCCCCCAAGATCTTGGAACACGAGGAACATCGCCAGGCTCCCCTGACAACTCCCAGGAATCGCCCTTGGCAAAAAAGAACCTCGGCTTCCATCCTTTATTGGAAGACAAAAGCCCGGAGATCAGAGTCTTCGCCTTTAGTCATTTAGCAAAATACAAGAAACCTAAGGAGGGAGAAGATTTCAACTGGAAAATGAAAGCAAATTCTCGTATAGAGGGAAAACGAAGGTTCCCGCTCTCAAACCAATGGACCAGGAAACCAATCAAGAGGCCCCAACCGTTGGGAAATAGTTGGGCCGGGTAGGCGTTGTAGAATCTGAGAACATTTCAGATAAAAAGATGGATAGGAAATTGAAGACCAGCCTGGAATATAGAGTCGAAGAAGTAAGTGAGTCCGGGAAGAATAGAATTGCACCTTTCGTGCTTCCCGGGGGAATGTAATTCCATGAAATCAAGAAAGAGATATTCATGCCTCAACTCCTCCAAATTCTCATCACCGAGACAACTGGGGGTCCCCTCCGCACAACAAGGCAGGTCAGACGGCTCGCGACGGGTTCATTTTTTAGAAACGGGGGGCAGAGTCGGCCCGATTTTCCTTTTCTTCATTTGAGCCGGAGAACCAGGAGGCAGGGCGGAAAGAGGTGTAACTTCGGCTGGAGGCGCTGGGGATGTAGCTCCAGTAGTAGACTCAAGGGCTCTGCCACCAGCGGAAAGAGAACGCCCACTAGAGGAAGCAGTAGTGGTCTCCTCGGTTTCTCCACTAACGAATTCCGACTCGAAAGAGGAAGAAACAACAAATTTCCCCATCAAAAGGTCGGATCTCACACCAGAATGAAGGGAAGGGAAATGCAAGACACAATCCGCCAAAATTAAGGGTTTTAGACACCAGGCCCTAAGTAAGGATACTTTCGCCACTGAAGAACGGTCTACGAATCACCAAAGGGAAAAAAGGTCGTTGGAGTATTCTCTGAAATAACTAAATCTCCAAACCAAAAAACGGAACCCAAAACCCCACTAGGGAGGGTTAAATGGATCCAGATCAAAATAGCAAGGAGAAAGGAAGAAAGACGTACATAGTGAAACGCTAGAGGAAGAAAGGAACCAAAGACGAGGATGTTGTAAGTCACCCCAGAGTCTAGGTCAAAACACTTCAAATGTACAGAAAGGGAAGAGAGCACAAGAGAGGGTGGAACTCGAAACCACAGAGCAAAAATCCAAGAGACCTCCCCCCCTTTTTTTACGAGGGACGTATATGTACGCGTGAAACATTAAATTCGAGACAGGCAAATGACAGGACACGCCACAAAAGCCATATCCAAGAGCTCACCCGATGGTGACACGTGCACATTGCCGTCCCATCATCGCGGGCAAACGGAGGCATGGCCCAATCTTGGTCAGAACCAATAGCCAGACACAGTCATCATTCCAAAAGCCTAGAACACGCCCAGTAAAGTCATTTTTAATCCCAGGTCAAAAATGATAACATCTCCATGGCCTAGGGCTGGGGGGCAACTGATACGGACGAAATTCACGGCCAAGGCCTTGATGGCCCATAAGTCTAACCAACCTAAGAGGTCCGAAGCAGAAAAGTAGGACCTGACATCGGCAAAAAGCCTATAGCCCAACAATCCAGGCCCAACCCAAACCATAAAGCTATTTGGAGAGTAAAAGCCCAATCCAAGGTATTTCTGGATGAGCAAAGGGACCCATGCGTCTAGGGGGACCACCCCTGACACCTGCGACAATCTCAGAGAAGGTGGATCACCAAGCCGCTATAGATCATGGCAACGGTAGCGCCGGGTGAACAGGGACGCCAGATGAACAGTGATCGTGGTGGCAGAAGAAGCAAGAGGGGGTCAGAAGAAAGGACAACTGGAGGCCCTAGGAGAAGTTGGTATACATGGAGAACGATAAGAAGAGGACTCCATCTCTCTCCCAAAAAAAAAGATCAGGGAACATTAGAGAGCAAAAGAGCGTAGAAAGCTAAGAGTGAATATCTAGATAATCATTCTTTGTAAGTAGACCCCGAGTCCCAAGTAACTAGAGGCACTTTGTCGGTCGATGAATATACAATTCCAGCGAGCAAGAGACTCCGTTGATAGTGAATGTAACCTTAGTCCTTCGACTAAAGTGAACCACTAATATTTCCTGTTTAACTATCCATAAAAGTTTAACCCATCATCTGCAAAACCATTTTCATAACACCATCCAACCTTAGTTGGGCTTGGGCCACAAATTCCGGCCACCATCAATGATTACAAGCAAATCGCTAAAATATCTATGGCTTTAAATCATTTTTCGTTTTGGTAAGAAAGATCATTTTTTTTGGTAACTTTATTGTAAATGTTGATGTAACATTGTAACTATTTGTGAATATTTTCCTCCCAATTATTTTCAAAATTTTCCCAACATCTCATTCTAAAAGGAACTTCTCATTGTAAGAAAAGAAAACAAAGTTGCGACTTTATAAACATGTAAAATATTTCGAAATTCTCATTAATATTACTAATAAGGTAAACAATTAATTTATTTTGCTGACTGGAAAATGAATTAAAAGAATTTATTACAATCCAAGATAAAAAATAAAAATAAAAAACAAATGTAATAAGCCCACATAGACACCTAGATAATATATATGCACAAAATAACTTTATAATAATATAATTTGATCATCATATCCCTTCATCACTCATTGGTAAAACCAAAGCAGCATCACCAGAACTAACAGCCACCTCTGGTTTAATCTCCTCCAATTTTTGAAGAACTTGTTGAGCTTCTGGCCTTGCTGCAGGTGAGGGATCAACACAATGCAGAGCTAATTTCAAAGTATTAAGCAACTCATCACCAATATTGGATGCATCCCCCATCAGCTCGATATCGAAAACTTCATTAGTCCATTCCTCTTTCACAATTGAAGCCACCCACTGGGGCAAGTCAAGGCCATCTGTTGCCTCACTGGGAGATTTCCCTGTTAAGAGCTCTAATATGATCACCCCAAGGCTGTAGATGTCGGTTTTGGTGGTGGCATTCTTGAGCTTTGAGAGTTCTGGCGCCCGATAGCCCAGTGTACCTGCAGTGGCAATCACATTGGCATTGCCAGCACTTGTCATGAGATGGGAGAGGCCAACATCTGCAATCTTGGGATTGTTTTGCTCATCAAGCAGTATGTTGCTTGATGTGAGATTCCCATGAACTAAATTCTCTTGGTTGTGAAGGTAGCATAGGCCTTGTGTTGTGCCCATAGCCACAGTCATCCTCGTTGTCCAGGTGATGGTGGTTTCAGGACCTCTTGCTGCATATAAAACACACACACATCACTATTCTCTTTAAATCGGTATATCATTAATATAATGAACGATTAACTATTGGAATGAAGAATTTTAGAGTTGGCTAAGCCTGCTTACCGTGGAGGAAGGATGCGAGACTCCCATTAGGCATATTATCATAGACAAGAAGCTTCTCTCCTTTGGGGCCCATGTAATAGGCCCTGAGGGCTAAGATAGTTGGGTGTCGAATTTTTCCCAGCTCAGCTACCTCGGTCTCAAATTCTTTAGGGCCCTTTGTTATCTTCTCCCTTAACCTCTTAACTGTAACTTGATTGCCATCCTCCAATGTTGCCTTGTATGCGGTCCCATAATTGCTCTTCCCCATTATTTCAGCAGTTGCACATAGTAATTCATCAGCTGTAAACACAAACGGGCCATCAAAATGGACTAATTTTCCTCCAGCTTCACCACCCGAGTCGACTTCAGTCCCAATTTCTGGAACAGGCTTGCCGCCTATACCTGCAGCCTGGCTGGCTGTTTTACCATTTTTCGTTTTTGATGTGACCTTTTTCCTGATCAAACAGCAGAGCAATGTACTGCACATGAGAAGTAGAACAACTAGAAGGACTCCAGCCGCTATGAGAATTATGTCCTTGGTACTCAATCTGTGCTTGTTGTGGCGATGTTTGGAAGCCTGGGATACTGCTGGGGGTGGAAGAATTTGATTTGGGGGGGGAGGACATGGAGTGGAGGTACTGTACCCACAGAGCTGAAGATTTCCAACAAAAGAGCTTGAATTGAACTTCTTTGAAAGGAGAGAGGGAACAGTGCCAGATAGATTATTGTAGGAAACATTGAAGGAAGTGAGATTTGGTAAATTGGCAAGTGAAGTTGGAATGTCCCCAGTGAAATTGTTTTCGGATAAGTCAAGTAGGGTGATGCTAGAAATGTTTCCAATAGTGGCTGGAATGGAACCTTTGAACTGATTGTTCCCTAGTTGTAGCACTGAAAGGTTCTGCAATCGGTCCATGGTTTCGGGGATTTGGTTACTAAGGTGGTTGTATTCCAGTTTCAATGCAATAAGGGAGGAGAGATTGGAAAGACCAGAAGGAAAGCTTCCAGTTATGGCGTTGTTTGATAAATCTAGCAGTTGAAGGTTCAAGAGACTACCTAATTGATCGGGTATGGTTCCACCAAGCTGGTTATGACTCAGGTTAATCTCTTGAAGCAGACCCAACTTGCTCAGAGAAGTTGGAATGCTTTCAGAAAGAATATTATGATCAAGGGTCAATGTCTGAAGTTTATAAGAGTTATTTCCTCTTACTGTACCCCAAGCATCAGGAATAGAACCAGAGAGATTGTTGCGTTGGAGGGCTAGGAAGGTGAGAGAAGGGTACCGTGTGAGGCTTACGGGGATTGAACCCGAAATTGCATTGAAGCTTAGGTTAAGTCTATATATCCTGGTAGAGTTTGCAAGGCTAGGAGGAATCGTACCAGTGATCTGATTGTTACTGAGATCAAGAGTCTGAAGAAGCGGGCAGTTACCAATTGATTGAGGAATTGAACCCGAAAGCCTGTTATTGAACAGATAAACCCCTCTGAGATTTCGTAGAAACCCGAGAGCTGAAGGGACAGTACCACCAAGAACATTGTCATGGAGGCTTATCCTTCGAAGTGCTTGAAGCTGGCCGATTTTCTCAGAGATTTTGCCACCAAGTCCCTTCCATGGAAGCTGGATAGCAATGACCTGCCCATTGACACACTTGATTCCTATCCACCGACCAGAACAAGTTCCATTACCAGTATCATTCCAGCTACGCAAAACGCCTTTGAAATCAATCAATTCCTGTTTGAAGGCCTTAAGTGCTTGATAATCTGCTTGGGTCACAATTACCCCGCCCCCTTTTTGGCCGGAGACAAGTGGAGGAATGGAAAATAGAAGCAGAAAAAGCAAGAAAAGGACACTATGGCATGAATAAGTCTTCCATTTTTCTTTCCTCTCGTGTGAATCAGAAGTTGCTTCAAGCAGAAAATGTAAAAACGAAAATGGGTATTTGCGGAACTTGTTCAGAAGCTGATTGTGCTCCATGAACACCTTCAGAGGTAAAGAGAAGTTGAATTAAAGGCAATGAGAGGTTACTGTTTGATATCTCTTTTTCTCAATCACTCACTCCCCTCTTTTTGCAGGTCTACTTCACTATCTCTGCTGATATGTTGCAGAAAATTTAGTGAAGAACTATGAAAAGAACAGATTAATAAGAGAGGAGAGAGAAAGGTGGGGGGTGGGGCTGATACAGCATGTGAGGATCTTAGTGAGGAGAGAGAAGATGAGGGAATCTTTGGTACAAGAGTCATAGACAGACATGGATTCTCAGAGTCTTCGTTTTAGTTGGTCATAACGGCTAGTTTTTTCTTCACAGCCATGTTACCGCACCGTATCTTCAGGTTGAACCAGGTCGTGTTTGATGCGGACAGGGGACGACCCCAACGGCTCTCTTTTTCTCATGGCCACATTGCTGAATTTTCTATGCCAAAATTTATTAACTTGCGGGTTGCGACTGTCATGGTCAAAATGACCGTTATAGCCTTGACCCCTTCCTTATTGTGGGAATACTTCATTTTCTTTCCCCTTTGTTATTCTTCTGTTTGTGGGATTTTTTTTCATGGTTATAGCATCTGAGTCAATTTACACACATTTAAATTATTTTTTTCTCCGATTCGATTAAAACCAGGATATCCATGTCAAGATTAGAATATTTAACTATCCATGGCCTAGTAGCATTGAGAGATTATCAAAATTTAAATTCAAGACGTTTAAATTTACGACTGATTCCCTATTTTTTGGGTTTCAAGCATTGGAATTGAAATAATAGAAGTCCCCAAATAATGGTCCTTCTTATTACATTTGGTCTGGAACAAGAAATGGTTCGTCCAGCCAACTTGAAGTCGAGGTGTTAGCATGAGTATGTTCAGATTTAATTTTATTGTAACTAATTAATCTCAATTGTTTCGCTCAAAAAAATTGTCTCAATCGCTAAATTCTTACTCAAGTTTGGCTCAACAAAAAGTTTACAATCAATTGAATCAACTGGAGCCAAAACGATGTTCATTTCATTAGCAAACAATTTTTAACTTAAAACCATATAGCTTAATATTCAACCCTATGAAATAGTTTCACGATACAAATACCCCAAAATCAGCCATTTGACAAAATACAAAGGAATTATTTGTATAGATAAACCATGCTACAATCGAAGTAACATACATGTCAATTGGATTAGGCTTGTTTAGAAAGAAAAAAAATACCTTTGAACAAATTCAATTGATTATGCTATTTGAACAAACGAGTCAAAACTAAGTCAAACTCAAATCGATTGAGCTCGAGATCGTTTTAACCACCCTAACTAGAGGAATCAATAGTTAGCTGGAATTGCTCATTTTCTTTCCTGAACAGGAGCTCGAATGGCTCATTTTCAACATAAAACTTTCCTAAAGTTCAAAAATTTCAACTCACAACCAACATCATGTAATCATACTTATTTACGGTTCAATTTACCTAACAAACAGGACTAACTCGAACTCGGTGAACCTAAGATGCACCAGCCAGTAGAGATTCTGGAGACAGCTGTAGACAAAATATACTGACCAAAATAACACAACAGCCGAAAAACGTAAGAGAACTCAGATTGTCAATTCCAAATGATTCTTCAGGGCACCAAAGTAACTCTAGAATCAACCAAAAACCATCTGTAAGTAGAAACTAAACTGACAGACAAATCATGTAGCAGACCTTCCCCGAGGCTCATCAGAAAATGGATAAATAAAATGGAGCTGTGCTGCACTATGTCAAGTGGAATGCCACCATGAGATGCATGCTTGACTACACCATGCAGTACACTATCATGGTTAAAATTTGCTGATTAGCAATGAGAGACCATACCCAACTCAGCAACAGGGCCACATGCTCATAATGGCCTCGGTTGACATCCCCTATAATGACCACAAAATAATTATAGGAAAAATGAAGTGCTAGGCAGAATCTATGCCACCAATGTTACAAAAGGATGATTACTGATCTAGTGGCAAGAGACCATTTCCAACCTTTTCTCACCAAAACGACACAATATATACAAACTTCTGTCAACTCAGTTCTGGAGGTTTACCCAAAAAAGACTCAGTTCCGGAGGTTGTGCTGCCAGGCAAGTTCTAGGCAAAGCTGGGTTAATGTCAACTCAAGAAAATATACAACTTCTTTATGCTGTGCAAGCCATTCTATGCCAAATTCAAGACTTCAAAGGCCAAAATATTGGTGTTTTTCCCTGTTATATAGGATGACTAAAAATATACGACTAAGACCTTCCTGCACATAAAACTTGACAGCGATTTTAACAAGGGAAAACTTCATCCACACCCCATATAGAATACATTTTCTTCAATGAGACCACTTGCATCTTTTGAAATTTCACCAACACCCCTTGTCAATATTGTCACCTGACAGAACTGTCTATTTTCCCGGTTTACCCTTTATCTCTATACAAATCTACATGGTACATCTATACATGTGCAACTTGCACATATTGGTACATCATCAAGGCCATCATGGTGAAGGTTATTCCTAAATGTGACTGCAACTCTGTGAAAAAAACACTTTAACTTTCATGTCTCTTCTTAGTGTGAATCACAGGCAATAAAATTGGTCACAAAATATTAGAAGTTCAAAAAATTTGTTCTGCATATTAGCGAAGACTTGGATTTTTGGAGTATTTTTGACATGGGTTGAGAATTGAAAGTTTTAGTGGTGGATTTGATATAGATTTGTGTGGTCTAGGGGCACTTGTGTGTATTTTTTGGTGTTGACATTGTTTTCATTCATCGTGAGAATAGGATTTTAATGGCAGGGCAGTGGTAATGTTGGTGGTTATTTGTGTGGATTGAATCTGGGGAAGGATTTGGAAGAAGAAGGGTAAAATTGGTGATTAAAAAATATATAGGCATGACAACATCACTTTTTAGATTGTCAGTACCGGTAAGGAGTCTTGATGAAGTGGACACATATACTTAAAAGAGGTGCAGTGAAATTTCATAAGATACAAGGGGTCTCATTGAAGATAGGGTAATCTACAGGGGGTGTAGATGAAGTTTACCCTTTTAACAATTGAACCGTGGGAAAAAGTTGGTTATCGTAAATGTCGTAGGGTGAAGCTGTTAAAGAACTCGAGGGGCAAACTAAATCTGAAAAATATAGACTTGAAATATGAGGTGTTAATCCAATTAGAAATGAGACTAACTAAAGCTGCAATTTCAAATGAAAAAAGAAAACGGACTCATAGTAACACCATAAGGGCAGACTTTCAATCTAATGTTGATCCCTGCTTCTAATCTGTCAGCCACATCCCCTTCTTCCTTTGTTCGGCAAATCCTCCATAAGTTTATTTGACTAAATGACCTATAAACGCACCTTATCGGATAACATAGTAGTCTTTGGCTCATCTCCAGCCGCTATTCTGACTTGAGAGTATCCGTAGCATAAGTCTGAATTGGTGAAATAAATGGCCTTACCCAAACGATCGAACAAGTCAGCCACCAGCAGGAGTATGTATTTTGAACCACATTCTTAGGTAATAACTAAATCCAGATACCCAATGGTAACCCACAGCCTCTTCCATCCTAAATAACTTGACCACTAATGGCAAGCAACATTCACAAGAAACAGCATCTCAGCCAAGACTATTGTATGGTTAAAAAAGAACAAGGATATGATCCTTGATCCTCAAGAATGGAATGTTTTATAAAAAGGTTTAAAACAGGTTTACATCCATTGGCTACAATCCAATTGTTCTATTCCATCCTACTTAAAAACATATTCTCAGAACCAAAGAACCCTAAGCAGAAATAATTCCATCTCAATGTTATTCAAATAAACTTGTACCCAACCATTAGAATTCAAAAACTCAATCAAATTTTTCAATCTGCTACACGTTCTTTTTTGCATCTATTTTGATCCAGAAAATACATCATTTTTTTTTATCAATCTGCCTTGCGGTCTTTTTTGCATCCATTGTGAGCCAAAATGCATTTTCTATTTCACTCTATGAACACCTATTCTCTTCTGGATGCTTGCTTTGTCATGTACCATATGCATCTCTTACTAGGGTAGGCATTGATCAAAACTCCAAAGCCAACTCACCCATCATGCTGCCTCTAAGTTTCCGCAAAAGCATTCATCCCTAAATATTATCACCTATGCTCTCAAAACGCATCCATCCCAACATAATGATCTCAAAAGCACTCATATTAGAGAAAAACTCCTTGCCTGCCCCACAGCCTGCCCTATGAAAGATGGTTGACCATCCCAACAAAACTGCCTCACATCAATCAGCACACACAGATGATCTTCTACATATGCATCCAGTCAACATCACTTCAAAAGTGTTGCACAATGTAAGGCAGCAGATGCAAAAAGAATATTCAGCTTACAAATGTTGCAGTTGCTACCCCTCTCCTTGAATCCTTGGCCGGCGTATCTGCGATAATTAACCCCATACAAGCTACGGCAGCACCAGAGTCAACAGAAAGGGCCTAATTGAGCTTCAATATATGCAATTAACAAACTGATAAACAATGGAAAGGGAAAGGGGTCTGGTCATATTGCAATCAGTGTACTACACATCAGTTCTCTAAACAGCAAACTGCATATATGTAACCAATAGACAAAGATATACAAATTGTGTAACATTAAATACAACTTCATTAATAAAAATAAACAGTTTTTTATTAACATAGTAAATAAATATAGTAAGCATCGTGATAACACACAACACATCTTCAGAAACACAAAATAATGATCTAGGCCATATACAGAGTACAGTTTCTGTTAAATTCTCATTGCCAATTATATTATTATAAACACAGCTAGGTGATATCCCTTTTGGGGGAATAGAAGAAATGTTATAACTACCAAGAACCAAACCATACAACATGCTGATAAATGAAATCCACATCTGATGCTGTACTTCTAAAGAGCCTAAAAACATTTGGAAAAAAATATAAAATCGTAAGAAATAAAGAGATCACACATACACAGATCAAAATTTAAGTAAAATGAAATGAAAAATCATATATCATTGTACTCCTACACAAACCCAAAACAAACAATTCCAGGAAATCTCCATCCAGAAGAAAAACTAGGAATTTATAAATCCACCCACCAACAGTTACACATGTAAAAGAGAATATACTTATATGTATGTATCCAACCCACATGAATGTAGAAATTGCATGCGATCTTGATCCCATTGTTATTGTTTTTTTCTAAAGAAATTCAAGAATTAAGGAGCGTAGAGACTCCCACATACTCCAACAATACCAGCCTCCTCATACGTAAAGCCATATAGATCCAACCCTCAGCCGCGTGCAGCAACGGCAGGAGCGACGGTAGGGGCAGCACTGGAGGCGGCACCAGAGAGGAAGGACAGAAATCCAGTAGCAGCAGGTTCTTGTTCGTCAAGAAACAGATCTTCGGGAACCCTAAAAGCCCCATGAGTGCACACAATCGCCAATCCAACCATGAGAGCAGAGATAAGAACCGATCCAACACTGGTGAGGAAAATCACAACAATCGAGGACACGGTCAGAACGGCTAGGGTTTCACGCTCGGAGAAGGTGCGGCCGAACAGGACAAGAGGGGGATCTGAGGGACGGAAGAGGTAGAGGAAGAGCCAGGCGGAGAGGAGACCCAAAAGGAGGAGGAGAGAGAAAGGGTTTGTAAGGAGAGAGAAAGCGAGGACGACGGTGATCACGGAAAGGTAATTGATCTTGAAATAGGAGTAGTTCTTGCGGATGCGGAGGGTGGCATCGGAAAAAGACTCAGGCTTGGAGAAGGCCGAGCGTTCAACGAGCTCCGACCATGGGCGGCGTTGGGAGAGGCCGTTGCGGACTGTTTCAGAGATGTGGCTGATGAATGCACGGACGGCAGGAGTGGCCACGGGGGCTTGAGATTCGGCGGTGGTGGTTATTGGGGGGTTGGTGATAGGAAGGATTGCAGGTGATGAGGAAGCCATGGATTGGGAAAAATTGGAGATAGATCTGAGAGGGGGGTATTATTTCAACTTTATAGAGAGAGAGAGGTTTGGATTGGGAAAAATTGAAGAGAAATCAGAGGGGGGGGGGGGGGGGGG